AAACAATCTAAATATTTATCAACAGATGGAAAACAACCTAAATATTTATCAACAGGGAACTGATTAAATCATGGGACATCTTTATCATGGAATATGCTGCAGTGTGAAAAGAATGAAACTTTTTATGAACTGATCATTCCTGAGGATGATCTCCAAGGTATATTGTTAAGAGACAAATGCAAAGTGCAGGATAGGAGTGATAGTACACCATCATTTGTATCACAAGGAAGGAAAAGTATAATATATGCTTAGGCCATTTACATTTAATATAATTATTATGTTAGGGGTTAAGTCTGTCATTTTATTATTTGTTTCCTGTTTGTGCCTGCTGTTTGTCACTCCTCCATTTCACTTTTCTTATCTTCCTGTGGATCATTTGAATATTTTTAGGGATTCCATCTTTATTTACTTCTAGTGTTTTGGGTGTATGTGTGTGTGTGTATATAAATGACTTATCACAGTCCACTGATATTGTTTTATCAATTTGAGTGAAAGGTGGAAACCTGACTCCCATTTGGGTCCCATTATCCTCCTCAATTTTAGATATAATTGTCTTGAGTATTAGATGATGTTATAAGTTTTATACCATTCATCATATGCAATTTAGAAAATTCATGAGGAGGGTAATCTATTTTATTAACCCACATTTCTGCATTCTTCATTTTCCTTTCTCCCTTCCTGATGATCCAAGATTCCTTTCATTATTTTCTTTCTTTTGAAAAGCATCCTTTAGCCATTCTTTAAGAGTAGATCTGCTAGTGATAAATTCTCTTAGTTTTCCTTTATCTGAGAATGTCTTTATTTCCCCTTAATTCCTAAAGTATAGTATTACCAGATACAGAATTCACAAATTGATAGTTCTTTTCTTTTAGCACTTGAAAGATGTTGTGTCACTTCTTTCTGGCCTCTGTTCTCTCAGAAGAAAAATATGCTGTCATTTGAACCCGTGTTCCCATTAAATCATGTGTTGTTTCTCTGTCTGCTTTCAAGGTATTTTCTTTGTCTTAGTTTTCAGAAGTTTAATTATGATGTGTCCTGGCATGAATTTCTTTAGATTTATCTTATTTATTATTCACTCAGCTTCTTGATCTGTAGGCTGATTTTGCCAAGTTTGGAGAATTTTTAGTCATTATTTCTTTGAATACTCTTTCAATCCCACTCTCTTTCTCCTTCCCTTCTAAGACACCAATGTTGTAAATGTTGGATTGTTTGTTACAGGCTTACAAGTTCCTGAGACTCTCTTGTTTACTTTCAGTTTATTTTCTCCCTGGGTAAATTCCACTGATCTGTCCTCAACTTTACTGTTTCTATCCTCAGTCATCTCCCTGTATTACAGAGTTCATTCAGTTAGTTGTAGCATTTCTGGTATTTTGCAGTTCTGTAAGTTCCATTTGGTTCTTTTTTTAGAACTTCTATTTCTGTGATGAAGTTTCTAGTTTTTTCAATTGTTTCAAGAGATTTGTAATTGCTTGCTGAATCTTTTTTATTATAGTTACTTTAAAATACTTACTACATAAATCTAATATCTGGTTCATCTCAGTGTGGGAGTCAGGTGATTATCTTTTCTCATGCAAGTTGTAATTTTCTTGATTTTTTGTATAATGAGTGATTTCATCTGGGCATTGTAACTGTGATGTTAGGAAACTCTGAGCCCTATTTATACTTTTTTATTTTAACAGGCACTTTCTAGCTTACTTTTGTGGACTGTGAACCCACTGACAATCTAATGTTCAGAGCTTCTACGGTGTTATTTTGGTCTGTTTGGTTTATCACCTGCCCCTGGGCCCCCCACTGGCCTTTGTTGGTGCTAGTTCAGGAAATGAAAGGAGCTTCACTGTCTTGATTGTCTGGCGCCTTAGGTGAGGAAAGGGAATCTCCAAGGCTTCGAAAAGCACTTCCTGGGCTGCATGTTGGTTGAGGCAGAATCCTCCTTGTTAATATCTCCTGTCAAGTAGGATCTCTGGGTGAGAAAGGGAAGTCAGACTGGTGGGAAAGTCCTCTGGCCAGTTTTGTAATGAGAACTTTCAGATGGTCCCCTTTGCTGTTTCTGCTGGGCTTATCTAGAGTTGTTGTTAACAAGGCTTCTGTTCGATTTGGAGGAAAAATAAGACCACCTGGCTGCCTTCCAGTTGCTAGAGTGGGTATCAGGAAAGGCCAGGCCTGGATTATCTTCTCTTGGGTGGGGAGTCATAAAATGCCCCACCACTGTATTGTTCCCTTGGTCCTGTGGTTCCTAAACAATTCATCTTCTCTTTTTACCTTTCAGGGTTCTCTTTTAGTTGTCTCTTGTGTAATTTCCAAGGCTTTTTAGTTGTGCTTAGCAGAGAGGAAGAGAGACAGACAAATCTATACCATCCTGCCCAGCCCAGAAGGTCTGTATAGATGCTTATATAGGTATAAGATCTCTCCAGAAAGATACAAGAGGAATTGCTTTCCATGGAGAGAAAACTTGGGGATCTAAAGTATGAGAGAGACATTTTTGTATACCTGTTTATATGATGTTAAAAATAAACATAAAATATAAAAGAAGGAAAAATGTCTTCTAACTCAGCTTTGTTTTCAAGAGCACAACCAGGGATTGCAACAGAGGTCAAGCAGCGTATGGATTCAACAGTTGGTAATTTTATTAAATTTCATTGGCTTTTAATTTCACTATATTTTGACTGCTTTGATCCAGGTCCTTGAATGTAAGAATAATATTCTCAGTAGATTTTCAGCCTGCTCATTCACTTGAAATAACTTGCAGAATACAAATGTGTAATTCAAATAGAAGTAGGTGCATTTGGCAGCATACTAGTACCCTAATCAGCTGAAAAAATAATATTTGTATGACATTAAAACAAAATTAATAGGAAGATGCTGATTACGTGAAAAGACTTCAGGTTGTAATTATTAAACTTGCAAACAGCTCGGCATCATTAGTGCCTTAATTAGGATATGACCTGAAATTTTAACTTACAAAATTAATAAAGACAATTTAAAGTCATACTTGTAAAGTGGGTTTTAAAACTTACAAGGTAGTTGGATATCACTTTTTTCTCATTTCAGAGAGCATCTTTGTAGGTACTAAGCTTAGAATACAATTATTTTGATTCTCAACTCCCACCCCCAGCACAATGTCAGAGCCCTAAAGCTTTAAGAGTCAAGTTTAGTGACCCTTAGCCAAGGACACACAGGGCCCAGCAGCTCCTGGGCACACTCCTGGACAGCTCTAGAACACGGTAACACAGCAAAGACTCTTTCTCTCCCTAGTACCTTAAGTGAAATATAAACTAGAAGATTGATACTGACTTTGAACAAACTTTACAATTTTGACAGAACTGTCTGGATTCAAATGGCAATTTTGTCTTTAACACATGCTTCTTGAGGGCATTTGGGTCCTACAGTTTACCACATGGTGAAGGTTCCAATCCAAAGCCAAAGAATTTTTCCATCAGTAGATAAAAATAGAGAATTCAGTAAATTTTTGTGGAGCAATGGTTTAGGAAAAAAATAACATGAAATCCTACCTTTATTCCTTATGTCAAAATAAACTCCAAATTGATCAAAGATTTAATGTAAAAAAGTAAAACCATAAATATATTAAAATAAATGGGTTAATATTTTTATAATATTGTAATCAAGAGAGGCTTTTTAACCATGACAGATAAAATAAAAATCCATAAAGTAAATGACTAACAAATTTATCTACTTAAAAATTCTAAACTTATGTGTATCAAAAAACAAAAATAACTGTAAGTTGTAAAATAACAAGCCTATATAAGAAGTAACTGATTAAAAATAAACTTTTATGTTTTGATTCATTTTTCTCCCTAAAGGCACAACTTTATTTCTCAACAAATAAGGAAATAATTGAAAATACACATCATAAGTTAGGTACAAGATAATTAACCATAGGGAAAATTAAAAGAATGTATATGTTGCCCTGACCAGTGTGGCTCAGTGAGATGGTGATGTCCTTCAAAGCAAAAGGTTGCCAGTTCCATTCCTGGTCAGGGCACATGCCTGAGTTGCCGGTTCCATCCCTGGTTAGGGCTTGTACAGAGGCAACAGATCAATGTTTCTCTCACATATCGATGTTTCTCTCCCTCTCTTTCTCCTGCCTGTGCCCTCCCTCTAAAAAAAATAAATAAATAAAATCTCTTTTCAAAGAAGAATGTACATATTTAAAAATAGCTTATGAAGTAATTAAATTAGAAAATAGCCATAGCATTAAAAATCTGAATATTTAATGACAGCCAGATAGTTTCATGATAAGACCTTGTTAAAGTGAAAGATAAAGAATACAGGTGAATCTAACTTGATTTTAAAATGTCTCATCTGAACAGAAAAGGAAACTAGAAAGAAAAATATTAATAATTATCATTAGAGGTAGAATTATGGATAAATGTTATTATTTTTATTTTTAGTAGTTGCCAAATTTTTTCTAATAAGTAAATTATTTTTGTGCTCAACCTTTTTTTTTTAATTCCTTGGAGCTTTAAAGAAAAAGATATTTCAATTTTTCCCCAAAACAGCTAACGTGGAACTGTATCAGGTATGAAAGATCAAAGCTGAAGATTTAAAAGTATAGCATATAATACAGCAACTGTAACAAGCTACCAATTTTTTTTAATTGCTCTACTAGATTTGTTGTCACTGTGTCACATGGGTTAAATTACAACTCCTATCACTCACGGTGAGATATCTCTCTCTTCTCTATCTCTCTCTCTTTTCCTTCTTCCTCCCTCTCTTTCCTTTCTCTCCCTCCACCTCTCTCACTGTAGGCTTAGAGCATAGGCTGCCCTTTCTTAAGGCCCAACATCATGAGACAGTTCTTTCACAAAATCAGTATCTGCCTCTCTATTCCCAACTGCCTGTATTTGTAGAACAGGGAACATGAGTTCTAAAACTGAGATTACTTGGTCTTAGCAGGAAGCAAATGTCTTTAGTTGGAGGCATTTACCAATCACAAGATAACTATCACTACTAGTACAGGAATTAATGAATTTCCTTTGTACCTGTAGGTTTTCTTAATTTCTTCATTTGATGCTCCCTTATGCAGACCAAGAACTTCATATAGAGCTTCTCCAGAGGTCGACATAGTCCGCTGTCTTTGGGTAGGGGTATCACATGCCATTTTCTCGGCTATAAAACCAAACAGAGTAGATAGCCATGAAGCTTATGTATACTGGACCCCACTCTCTAAATGGGAAGATAGTTCCTTTCTGATCTTTTGTAAAATGACAATCTGAAGTACATTTTTGTGTCAGCTGCAGAATGAGGGGAGGAATGGGTTAGGATTGCCAAAAGTAGAACTTCAAGTAACTGCTAAAGGCTATAGGCAGCCATGCAAAGGGAATATGGCTTTGCCCACATGGTTAAATAGAAGCAAAATGTTGTCTAAACACTCAGCTAATTCAGAATATTTGAGAAACAGCACTCACAGGTCAGCCAAATGTGGGTTTCTTTTTGCTTGAATTTGTTTAACTCCTTTTTTGTATGCTTCCCCAAAATCATCTATTTTACCTTGACTCTATTGGCCTAGCCATTGTTAGAGCAAGAGATTAAAAAAATAAAAACAAAAACAACTTTTTGTAAGTATGAAGGAAAATAAATCCTGGTCTTATCTAGGAGCCAGGATAGAACTTCTCTGCAGCTACGTGATGCCAGGGGCCCCGCAGTGGTCATGGGTTCTGTCCCTGAGATAACTCCTTTCCCTGTGGTCTATCCATGAGTTCTGCTGTCCCAAGTCCCAAGGAGCCATCTTCCTGCTATGTTCTGCCTGTAAGAGGGGGCCCACAGAGTAGCAAGCACACCGAGGGGCATTCCTGCATCCGGTATTTAACCTCTCCAGCCTTAATATCTTCAGCTATAAGGTAAGTGTCAGGTGGGCTCAGCTGGAGCCAACTTCCCAGCTCTGCTCCCAGCAGGCTAATGACCAAACCAATGCAGGCAAGAGCAGAGCCTGTCAAATGTTGCCAGGTGGATGAGGATAGTTTTAGAGGCCCCCTGAGACCCCCACGTTGAACAGCCAGGGCTCATAACCCTACAGAATTCAATTAAAAGGAACAATGTGAAAAACTTCAAAAAAGTTTTTGTGAGCTTTTAGCTTCTAAAAGTCAGATCCCAGCCAAAAATCCTACAGCCCTGAAGGTGCTGAGGACAACACTGACCTACCTGAGGGTGCAACTGTGGCATGGCTCAATGTTCCCAACTCAATTAGCTTCCCACGAATGTGGAGGCCCTGGAGGCCATAGGGGCCCTAGTCCCAGATCCCTGATTCACACAAGGGCAAGAGGAAAAAAAAAAATCCCAATTTTGCCTACCACAAAGCGGTATCCATACTGACTGACAGCTATTCAATAAATTATAGTACTTCTTTTTGTTGCTGCTCTATCTTTTTAACTCACCCATCATACTTTCCCTAGAAAGTAAGCAATTCAAGGTTTGGGGCTGTGTCATTCATCTCTGTGTTCTGCTCCTGCAGTTCAGCCCTGTCTTGGAACCACAGCCCAGCTGGCTATTTAGAACTGAAGGAAAAATTACCTGAGCAACTGACAACCTCCCTACTTCCTTTCCTGTCTTCTCTTTCCTGCTGCCATGGAAACAGCTAGGCTCAGGATACTGATGCTCTGCTGCACACATCCACCTAATACTTCCCAGTAATAGGGGTAACCAGCAGACTTCTGACAAGTCACACTCTATGTCAAAAATGAATGGGATTTACACCCTGGCTGGTGTGGCTCAGTGGATTGAGCGCCGGCCTGTGAAACGAAAAGTGGCTGGTTCAATTCCTGGTCAGAGCCTATGCCTGGGTTGTGGACCAGGTCCCCAGCTGGGGGCATGCAACAGGCAACGATTTGAGGTATCTCTTGAACTCTTGCTTTCTCCCTCCCTTCTACTCTCCTCTCTTTAAAAGTAAATAAATAAAATCTTTAAAAAAAACATGAATGGGAAAGTAGGGATTTGTGTATGGCTTGGTAGACAAGGAATGGGGCCACAGTCATTATGCTTGTCTCTCTGAAAGTTTAAGGTCTTGCTAGATAGCAAGATCCCCAAAGTTACTAAGAATATATCAACATAGGGATTCATATGCTAGGACTGTAAAATATAGAGTTAGAGGCCATCTAAGCCAATTTAACAAATGCCATTTGGGGCATTCTGGTCAGAGGTTATTATAGTAAACAACTTTGATATTACCCTCTTAGCTCCTCCTATCTGGAGAATTCCTAGGTCCTCACTGAAACAGACATTTTTCCTGAAACCTGCCTCAGTCTTACCTGATCTCAGTTGAGTAGCTCTGATACAACAAATTGGAGTCTTCCCTTAGGTTTTTTGTTTGTTTTTGTTTTTTGAGTATAGGACAGTCTCTCAGATGGTAAAACCTCTAAAATGTAAAATTTGGGTATTGTTGGCTTGCCTGAAGTGAGAGAGACTGAAACTGACTCACAGAAGAAGACAGGTGGGAAGAGATGGAGAGAGAGCCCCAGTGGGTTGAGTCCATTAGTTCTAGTTGTTTCTAAGTGCACTTGCACCTCTTCCCCTCCTACAATTTGTCAATCAACCCTTGCTTGCAGTGAGCCAATAAAATTCCTCCTCATACACAAATTTACATACAGTTTTTCTTTTGAGCATATGTTAGCTAGATTTTGTTCGCTGTCAACCAAGACTCCTTGGTATCATATGCTTTCTCAATTAAACACCAGTAGTGGTTTGCTGAACACCTCCAAGCTTGGCTAATCCATTGTGCATTTTTCTTAACTCATTCTATGTACTCTTCATTTAAATTGAAGTGGCTTCTAGGCACTTGGGAATGAATACTTTGGGGAAATAACAATGATATACTAAAAGATTCCAACCAAACAAATTCAGATGTATTGTGTAGACCTTACTAGCATGGCTAGAAAGAGCAGTGATAAGTCTGAGTCAAGATGCTTTCATGAAGAAAGTATATAGACAGCTATCCAAGAGCACTAAGAAGAAATAAAAGTATAGCAGATAGACCTTTGCATTATCTGTTTTTCTCTATATTCAGCATTCAAAAGGAAGTTTCAATGTAAGGGAAACATTTATTTACTCTTCATCATCTGTATCATGAAATAAGACAGTTGTCAGGGTTCCCATAAACCAACAGATAGTCCTAAAATCAATTTTAACAAGGCACAGACATGCACAATTTCCACTTTGGGAGCATTGTACTCCACCTACTTGGGTCTTGCTGTCACTAATACAGGAAAAAAGATTTAGAGGTGACTGAAGATAGCCTACTAAACAGATTATGATAATACCCACAGCAGACAATTCAGTTACTTATTCAAAGTCTGCAGTGCAGGCCAGGTCTTTAGGAAGATTGCAAATTAATATGGAATACAAAACTGAAAGCCAATGATGAAGTGTTCAGGGGTTCAGGGGTTAAATAATTATTGAATATAGAGGCAAACAGAAAAAGAAGGAATCCTCTGGAGGACAAGGATTCAGCTTTGGTGCCCAAAGAGTCCCAACATTGTGCTTGGCACATATTAAGTATGTGATGAATGTCTGTTGGGTAACTAAATTAACAAGTGGTTAACTTAAATGGGAATGTCAGGGAGAACTTCAAGAAAAGATGAAATCTGAACTGATAATAATACTACCATTTGTTTCTGTAAAATCTGACACATCCTTCGATTATGGCCCTTGTATCTGAGCCTGACCTTGGATCTTCATGGACTTGGTGGCCAGTGACTCTCTTGATCATCTGTTTGCATATATCAACATGAAAGAGGACTTTCTGATTTGGGGGAGCTGAAAGAAGAGGGACATTTTGACAGTTTGGGGCATTTTTTTCTCTAAGGCTGCCTCCTTCAAAGGCGATCTTCAGTCACCTGTAAAGGTATCCCAGGTGTGGAACAAGAGAGATGGGGTTGGTTGGAGGCCACCGTTTCTGGAGAACACTACTGGAAACAGCCTGGGATTTCTCCTTCCCCATCCCACGGCCATCCCCCTACACACTCTTCTTCCCAATGGAAGAAAGGACGGCAGATTCCATTTCTGAAATAGTTTTATACGTAGACACTCCACCAATGAAGACAAGGTAACTGGCTATTCCCTTGTTTTATGCTTTTTTTTTTCAAATCAGCTCTTTGTTTATAAATCTAGTCACACTGTAATCTGTACCTAAGTGAAATCTGGTAGCTGGCTTGCTCTGTGATATGGACTGAACAATATTCAAAATGGGTTGTTATAGAGAGTTTGCTAATTATTGATCACCTGTATCATCTTCTTTGCCCTATTTTCCAAAGAATTCCTTTCATACAGATAATGTCTATTAATTTAAGTACTTAACAAAGCCCATTTACATCAGTTTTGGAACACAAGATAAAGACCTGGTCAATGAGGTTAGTAGTTGGCTAATTACAAACTGAAACATAAAGGAACCAAAAGACTGCGAAGTTGCTCTCTGTGCATCCAGCAGCAAAAACCTGCTACTTTTTCTGTTTTCTTGCTGAGTTCTTCATATATTACTGATATACACAAGATTTAGTTTCAAATTCAATGGAGCATTGAAACCCTTAGTTGTTTTAATGTGTGAAAATATATTCTGCCCTGAGAACACACTACAGAGTAATAATGAAAACATCCCCTAAAATCTCTCCTTAAATAACCTTAAATAATGGAGTCATACCCTTATTTGACTCCTTATATAAAACATAATTTTTATGAATTCTTTTTCTGTAGCCTTTTGAATTCTAATATTCCTATGAAAAATTCAAGCCTTATTATTTATTCATAGTCTCTCATCTGTAAGCTATCCAATGAAGTCATGCAAAGTTATTAAGTAATTTAATTTTGATCATCCAGTACATGATACTTAATCTTCTGAACTTAAATATGTTCTAGCTGCATTACAATTCATTAATATCATAATTTATTAAAGCATTGATCACTATACAGTCACTACCAAACTGTATATAGCTCCCCTGCCCCTTGATAATAGATATAACTGAAAGAAGGTTCAGCATTCCAGTGACGATGGGTATCCAATTTAAAATAAATACATATTTTAAAGGTTTTAATTCCAGGAGTCCTACAAACGCTGTTCTAAAATTTTCATGTTGACATGTGAAATGTTCCTCAAAGCAAAATGTTCACATGAAATGTGAACATGAAATGTTCAAAGCAAAAGAAGCTTCATCTATATCTATTATGTGAATTCTGAAAAATGGGGGGAAAATCAAAAAAGTCTTTCTTGCAGGGTCCCATCATAGTTGAGAAGAAGAATACGGGCAGGAGAGATGATCATTAAACACAGCAAAAACGCTTTTGATGGCTTGGGCTGGAGAAACCAATGTGCTCAACCATATTGTTATTACTTCTGTAATTCCTCCATAGGGATCCAATTATTAAAACAAAATCTCCTTATTCAAATCATGTATCTTAAAGCTAAACATACATCCAAAATGCTAATTCTATGATTTAAAGTAATAATTCTTCCTAGCATAATTACCTATTTGCTATTGAAAAATAACTATCTCTTAATTGCACTGGTATTTATATAAGCAGCAGCCTAACCACAAGACTTGCGGTTAGTTGAAATAATCCACAATACCTGTTCCTGTGACTCCAATTCTGTGTTCTCAATCTGGAACAACTTGATGTTTTTAACTGGTCTGGAAATAAATGTGCAAAGAAATAAAGGGAGGCAAAAACGAAAGATGTTCCATACCTGTTCCACTGTTTCAAAGCAAGCAGCTGTTCCTTTCCATTGTTCCCATGCAGAGTTAAGCAGGTCAATGGAGTCAAGTTACTTTTCATTTGTTACTCTATCAGCCAATTGGTTATCCCTCTGGAAAACATAACAAAGAGAGAATAAAACATGCATGACCATAAAGGTTGCCATTACAAGGCATCTAGTGATACCAAAATACCTGCTATAGCTCATTTGCTCATTAGTCAACTGGTAACTTGGTTTAACCAAAAACTGTAATGGAACTGCCTCTATTTTCCACCAGGACTTTCAATTAAAAAAATATGCTAATCTCTTGACATGCAGAGTGAATTCTTTGAATATTTTTATTGAGATACAACTGACAAAACATTATATTAGTTTCAGATGTACAACATAATGGTTGATATTTGTATATATTACTAAATGATCACTATGATAATAGTAGTTAACATTAATTACTATATATAGTTACAAATTTTTTGTGTGTGTTGAGAACTTTTAAGATCTATTCTCTTAGCAACTTTCAAATATGCAATATTGACTATTGTTACCATACTGTATATTACATCCCCACAACTTGTTTTATAACTGTAAATTTGTACATTTTTACTCCTTTCAGTCATTTTGCCCAACCCCCAGACCCCCATCTCTGGCAACCACCAATCTGTTCTCTGTATCTTTGAGTCTGTTTTTTTTTTTTAATTTAACATATAAAAGAGATTATATGCTATTTGTCTTTCTCTGACATTACTTACCATAATGCCCTCAAGGTCCATCATGTTGTCATAAATGGCAAGATTTTCTTTTTCATGGCTGATTGATACTCCATTTTATATATATACATATATAACATATACATATATACACATATAGATATGTCTCATATATACATATATATGAGGTTTGTCTGGAAAAAGTACAGCCACTGTTAATATGAGAATGGTTTGTGCGATATTGACATAAACTGACAGTGAAGGAGAGTGGACCAGAATGCACATGTGTGAACAATGATCATTTCACTGTACTAGTCAGTGGGGGTTGTAGACTGTTGAGTGAGCTTGTGTACTGTGTGGCTGTCATTCGGAATGACTGAGAGAGTAGAGAAACGAATCTGCATCAGATTTGTGTTAAGCTTGAACGTTCCTCTCAGAAACTATTTGGATGATTCAGAAGGCTGCAGCTATGGGCAACTGGTGATTGGCAGCTTCATCATGACAATGTACCTGCTCATGCCTCACATCTCATGCAGAGTTTTTTGGTGAAACATCAAATCACCCGGGTGATTCAAGTCCTCATACAGCCCATATTTGGCACCCTGTGACTTCTGGCTTTTCCCATCTTTGAAAGAGAAGAGATTTCAGGAAAATATGAATGAGATTCAGGAAAATATGATGGGGCAGCTGATGGCAATTGAGAGAAGTATGTGAGGTCCCAAGGTGCCTACTTTAAAGATGACTGAGGTGTCATTTTCCTATGTACAATGCTTCTTGTATCGTCTTCAATAAATGTGTCTATTTTTTATATTGCATGGCTGGATACCTTCTGGACATATATACATATGTATATGTATGTATATATAGACACACACACATATATGTGTATATGTAACATTTTTTATTCATCCATCCATTGATGGACACTTAGGTTATTCCCACTTCTTGACTTTTTAAAATAATGCTGCAGTGAATATAGGGGTGCATATATCTTTGAGAATTAGTGTTTTAATTTTTTAGATAAATACCCAGAAGTGGAATTGCTGGATCATATGATAGTTCTATCCTTAATATTTTGAGGAAACTCCAAACTCTTTTCCATGGTGACTGCACCAATTTGTAATTCCACCAACAGTGCACAAAAGATCTTCTTTTCTCTATATCCTCACCAGCATGTCATTTCTTACCTTTTTAATAATAACCATTCTAACAGGTGTGAGGTGATATCTCACTGTAGTTTTGATTTGCATTTACCTGATGATTGGTAATGTTGAGCACCTTTTAATATACCTCTTGGTCATCTAGGTGTCTTTTTGGAAAAATATCTATTCAGGTTCTCTGCCCATTTTAAAATCTGACTGTTTTGGGGAGGGATTGCTGTTGAGTTGTATAAATTCTTTATATTTGGGAGATACTAAGCCTTTATCTGATACATGATTTGGAAATATTTTCTTCCATTCAGTATGTTGCCTTTTCATTTTGTTGATAGTTTCCTTTGATGTGCAGAATTTTTTCAGTTTGATATAGTCCTACATGTTTATTTTTGCTTTAGTTGCCTTTGCTTTTCGTGTCAAATCCAAAATATTATCTCCAAGACCAATGTCAAGGAGCTTACTGCCTATGTTTTCTTCTAGGAGTTTTATGGTTTCAGGTTTTACATTTAAGTCTTTAATCCATTTTGACTTGATTATTGTGTCTGATATAAGATAGGGGCCCAGTTTCGTTCTTTTACATGTAGCTGTCCAGTTTTCCCAACATCATTTATTGATGAGATGGTTCTTTCCCCATTGTATAGTCTTGGTTTCTTTGTTGTAAATTAATTGGCCATACAAGAGTGGCTTTATGTCTGGGCTGTCTGCTCTCTTTCATCTTTCTGTCTGGTTATACTGTCAGTACCATACTACAATGATCACTACAGATTTGCAGTATAGTTTGAAATCAGGAAGCATGATTTCTCCAGCTTTGTTGCTCTTTTCAAGATTGCTTTTGCTTCAGAGTCAAAGTGGGTCCTTCAAGATTCAGGGTCAAAGTGGGTCCTTTTAAATTTTCTTTTCTTTAGGTTGATTGCGTTTAAATTACTGCAAAGACCATGTAACATTAATATGGAGGAACCTGTAATTTCTCACAATGTAATTCAACTATTTTTATATCTGAACATTTTTACCCTAATCTTAGTCAAGAGGCACTGAGTCATGGTCACCTCCATCTTAGTCGAGGTGACTGAGGGAGTTTTAAGAATTAAGAGATTTCTTGAATTTGAAACAATGGGGTCTGGCTCCCAAGGCTGAGCTGAGTTTAAGTGTGTTGCTTAGCATGACAGGCAGCAAAGCCTAGGACTATTTTGTGTGAACTTTTCTAACTGGGCGTACTGGGATATACATAAAAAGGAATAAAAGGCTATTTCTCATAGATCCTGACTTCCAGCCAGAGTTTAGGAAGCAGCCCATCATTAAGCAGAGAAATAGGGCAGGGGGTGGGGGTACTAAAGACATTTAGAACTAAATACCCAAGTTCCAGAATCACTTCAATTTAAGGACAATGTCCTTTGATGAAATAAAATTAGTTGATGTATTACCATGGTGAGATTAAGGGTGACTTTTTATTTATTTATTATTTAGAGAAAGGGGAAGGGAAGGAGAATGAGAGGGAGAGAAACATCAGTGTGAGACAGAATCATTGATCAGTTGCCTCTCATATGTGCCCCATCAGGGGACTGAACCTGTAGCCCAGGCATGTGCCAGGACCAGGAATCAAACCGGTGACCTTTTGCTTTGCAGAATGACACTCAACCAACTGAGCCATAGCAGTCAGGATGAAGAGTGACTTTTTTAAAAAATTACAGTTTATGTTAAGTTCAATTTAATGAATATATTTAGTAAAATTCATCATCTTGGACAAATAACTACATTTTTCTTAAATCATTACTTTTTAATTTTTAAAATGTAGAAAAATGAGTTTTGCAATTTTTTAAGTATTACAAAACTCTTAGGTGAAGGAGAACTGTAGCTGTGTTTCAAAGAGCAAACACATTTTCTTATTTATCAAGTAATTCAGCAGTTATTATTTTTAAATTTTTTATTGTGTCTTTTCCATTATCATTTAGTCACCTACTAGATCCAGGCACTGGGCTAAATACTAGAAATATACTAGTAAACAAAAGCAAACACAGACTCTGAGCTTGTGGGTCTCAGAGTTACAGTACATTAATGAAGTGACTACTCCAAGAAATATGAAAGTGAGACTTTGTAGAGATGCAACAAGACCATGTAAACCCATAGAACAGAGGGAGATTATAGAAAACTTCCTTGAGCGAAAATAACCAGGCAGAAATATGAAAAGAACTAGATGATGGGATTGCTGGTAGACACAAATATATTCTAGGCAGGTGATAGAGCATGTTCAATGGTCCTTGTGCTTAGAGAAATAAAAGAGACATGTTGATGTGCTCTCCTACATAGTGCATAGGATGTCAGCATGTGCCTATGCACATATGGCTTCTAATATATCCTCTACAGATACAGCCAGAAATTAATGGGATCAAATTCCATTTAAACAGGTGAGTCTTTCTAGAAGTGGTGAGCTTTGATGATGTTTTTAAAAGGAAATAACTCATGTTAAGCACATAAATAATTCCTTGATGTAAAATGCAGTAAGTGTATTATAAAAGCATTGTCTATTGAGTCATTCAAGTTGGAAGAGGATAACTTAAAAGATATTCCAAGATTGAAACAAAGTGGTCTTTCTGTGAGGCAGAAAACTGGAGAGAGAATGATGTACGTATTGGGTGGGGCAGTTTACATGCTAATTTTGCCTGTGTATTCTGTTTGTGGAATCTTCACTATTCCTTTGGGTGCTCCTCGAGACACTGTTTTCTCAATTACTAGACAGGGCTAAGGTTATTATAAAGTAGTAATGAGTATATCACCACAGAATCAGGGGCTAAACAAATGTAAATATTCAACCAAAATGGTCTATCATAAACATTAAGGTACATAGTCTTTAATTTAAACTCATTATGAGCATGTGATGTTCAAAGGCACATAGCCCCAACAGATATATCCTAATCTAAACAGCCTAACATGATGAACTAAAGTGTTATTATTGCTGTCAGTGTTACTATACTTATTACTACTCTACATTGTTTATGTTATTATTATTACAATTATAGGATTCAGGCCATCATTTTGTAAGTTTCAAAAGGAAGAATCATCTGGGAAAGCTCCATTCTGTTAAGTGAACTTAGAAAGGAGGAGGACAGGTACTTTGGTTGTGTAAAGTGAAGGGGCTGTTGGCTACCCCTGCAGCAGCACCTCAGGCGTAACTGCAGATCAATCCTGGCAATTCTTCTGTAAAATCAAGTGTTTATATTTCAGAAGAGCAAACTTTTTCATTCCTATTTTGTTT